CTACGCAGTACACCCTCTGAGGATGTACCCGTCTGTGCCCTTGCACGGCCGTGCTCGGTCACACAGGAACTGGCAAGCTACACCCCTCCCAAACAAGAAAACAAGGTTTGAGCCGTAGATGCTTAGCAGAACTTGTGCCACACGGCGGAGCCAAATGCACAAGGTCTAAGTGATCAGCCTCCAGGGTAATGATGTCAAGTAAAGCTTGCACATCATCAGCTTGGGTGAGGTCAAGACGATGTATGGCAAACCGGGACCTGGTTGAGGATTTGTCAACTGCCAAGGTACGGAAGCCGGCGGCCTGGCAAGCCTGCGACAAGCGGGCCGTGCCTGCAAAGACCTCAATGACCATGGGGGCAACAGCATCAGGAAAGAGACGTTGTACACTGCTTGCACGCTGGGGGTTTTCGCTTGCTGAAGGGCTGCCAGGCGCATGCTTCGCAGGCTGAGGCTTCTGCTCAGGGGAACCCAGAGGACTAGACCCTAGGGGCAGTGTGGGATGCGGCGACACGCGAGCACCATCATCCGCGAGACTAGGGGGAGGTGGACTAAACCCTAGGGGGGACAGCGAAACCACAGCGGCAGACGCACCCTGCTTGGTGCGATCATGGACACGCGATTTCTTGCCGGGCTGTGCAATTGGCAGTTGGAAGCCCAATTCATCCAAACGTGCAGCCAAGCCAGGTTCCAAAGTGGCGCAGTTGCGAACACAGAACCCCACAAGAATCAGGCGTGTCCCGGTCCAAGTGCAAGTGGCATGCAAACGTTGCGCATCAAGCTCACAAGGGCCATTTGCAACGTCAAGCAGCGTCCCCAGGCGCGTCTGGCCATGCACGCAAAACTCCTGATTGCCGGGCCCCTCGACCCACACAGCGCCGTTTTCAAAGCTTGAAGCTGGTAAAAGTAGATTGGGGCAACCTGGCTGGTTGTTTGTGTCAACATGCGGAGGTGCTTGCAACTGTCGAAACAACCCAGCTGAAGTGAAGTGGCGTGAAGGAAAAAGGCAGCTCAAAACTGAAGCCAATAGCTTAGTAGTGGCAGGAAACTTGCAAACATTGCTGCGTAACCCCGCCCGGTTAGAGTAGACATAAGCACCGGTCGTGAAAGTTTTGGAATCATGGCCAGCAGAGCCTAGCTCATTGTCAGGCGGCAAAACTGAAATCAAAGACTCAAAATCCTCGTAGCTCACTGCACCATTCTGCAGGCAGAGGCAAGAAATTCGCTCAGCATCGCAAGATGGATTGAATTCCTCGAGGCAATGTGGAAAAGGCGGAAAACTGTATTTGGTAGCATGATTGCGGATTCCCGAGGCGGAATCTGTTTGCATCAACGCAGAGCATGGATGAGCAGATAGTCAAGCCTTGTTGTTGGCTCCTTTTCCGCCTCCTTTCCAGGACCTAGCACGACAAACCTGGTATGAGTGCCCAGTCCGCCTGCAGTAGGCGCACGCGTGTACGCCACGCACGCATTTGGGCGGTTGCCCGTCGGTCTTCTCCTGGCAGCCACACTCCAAATTGAAATCCCAGCAGATCAAGGAGCCGTCAGCCATTTTTTGGTGAAGGTCTTTCAATTCGGCCGGGACCGTTCGTCGAGCAGTGCCACCGCCGCCCCCTGGGTGAACGATCTTGACTTTGGCTGCGGCCTTTGCTTTGGCCTGGCGTTGCCGCCGTTTAGCTGCACGCGAGAGCACAGGCGTATCATCAGCTGCCGCAGGAGGAGGAGCAACAGTTCCTCCGGGATGCTTGAAGGGCACAGGCATCAACAAACAAGTGATTCGAGGATCATAGCGGAGAGACTCAAGTTTCTCCCCCATAGGCCGGACCCCGGCAGAGGTCGTTTTAAGGGTCTGTAACTCAGCGGACATTACCATGAAGGCCTCCCTATCTGCTTGCACCAGCTGTGAGATGCCAGGCCGGCTCCAACCTGGAGGGCAATCTCTAGTGAGGCTGTGAAGCAGATGCTGGACCCAATGTTCGTGCTGTTCCCATGTGACCAAACCAACTTGATCTAACGCGAGCCCGCGGCGCTGCAGGCACCACTGCAGCATGATTGCCGAACTGAAGTCGGCCGTCAACTCGACAGTTTCCGAGCCAAGTTTCAACTGGTGGTCCTCGAGCTTGAACACCTTAGCCGTTTCCTTGGACGAGACCTGAATCTCTGATTCACGGGAGGTGCACTTCCCCGGGCTGATCCATGTAACGGTATTAGTGTCGCTCATATGGGAGCATAAGTCCACTAAGGCGTAGCTAGGCACCATGTCGCGCTCAATGACGAGGCCACTGAGCCGTTGTCGCTGTGCTGATGCACGTGCAGCCTTCTCAGCAACAGGCAACTTGCGAGGTGTTCCATGCCTCAAACATGAGCCGTTTGAGCATGCCAACATCACCCAACTTCGGACTAGCCCCAAGGATCTTTGCCGCAAAGGCGTCGAAGGCTGTTTGGCTCGGTGGCTCCTTTGGGGTGCCACATGCATAAGCTAACTGCGCGAATGTCTCCACGCCCTCACCCTTCAAGCTGGCATGAATGTCGGCAGCGCCTACTTCACTGCATCGTTGCAAGAAGCTCGCCTTGCTATCAACAAGCGCCATTGTTCTAATGCCCTACGATCCTCGGAGCAAAACTGCGCACACGGTGTGTAAGACAGATTGATATGTAGCGTTGCACAGTGCACTCATACATCAGATCACTGATGAGAGCAAGGCGCAGGATCAATCCGCCCCAACATTTTTGTCTCAGACTGGCGCAATGATTTAAAGGCTTCTGGCTGCCCGCTTACACATAGAGCATACCGAAGAATCAAAACGGACTTCTGTAGCCGCATGGTGCACTTCCTGCACCGTCCGACCACAGAGCATGACCCTCGAGTTGCCATCGGCAATCATATGCAACATCTTAGTGTTGCTATGAACCAAAAATCGAGTTCCCTCTGCCGGAGCTGGCAGCCCCATCACGCGGGAGGCTTCCTTGTGGTCTGTGTCTGTCAAAACATCGCTTCCTGAAGATGTCGTCGAATCCGAATCTGAAGAACTGCTGGACTCACTTGCAACTATGTCTGTGGGACCTGGCGCCTGATCACAAGGCTCCGCTGCATCAGGTTGCTCAACAAGCCGTCTAAAGGTGCATCGTCAACGTTGTCTGACACCCGTTCGAAAGAACACAACGCGGACCCCTCTCCATCAACAGACTCAACCCCCGCTCCGTCATCCTCGGCGGCTACCGCAGCCTCAAAAGGAGGTTCATACCCAGTTTCTGCAGGACCCGTGAACCGACCGGCCCGCGAGGCATCTGGATCAAAGGATCCATCACGGATGTCAGACAGCAGAGCTTCCAGCAACCGAAGGGGGCGTGCTGCGTAGTCATCACCATAGACATCAGCCATCTTTCCCTGGTGGCAATGGTGTCCGAGTATTAGCTTATCCGTATTACCAAGGCCCCTCTTATTTGCATAAGACAACAAAGTCCTCTTAAGAGAATGGGCGGACAAAGGCTCGGTCTCCCTAGGCAAAGCAAGGCGCAACCATGCACCGATTTCTGCAGTAGACACACCCGCCTCACCTGGAGTTCCATCGACAGAAGGCGTTGGCAGTGGAGGTTCAATGCTAACAATGCCTAGCTCTCGCCTGACCTCAAGCCACAAGTCCAACCAAGGGCGATCGGACACACCGAGCGCAGGCGCTACCCAAATGGCAGGCTCATCATTCCAAAACTTAGCATTCATGGTCTTGAAAACATCTGACTGGAATTCAAGATATACAGGATTCCCGCCGCCATCACGATCAACGACGAACCTGACTGTCTGCTGAAAGTCGCCCCACCTGGCCCTCATGTAAGCACATGCCAAGCAGGCCCCTTGCAAACATGCGGTCCCAAAGTTGACTATGCTCGTCACCCAATAGGCGATGTAACTTTCGAAGCTCTGGCACTTTGAGCGGAGGGGCTTTGCGTCTTTGCTTGCGCTGGCCTTTTGCAACACCCGCACATCGCCTGCTCTTGACGAAGGGTTCAAGCTGTTCCATACTAAGGACATGCCGTACGAAAATCAAAGCTTCCCGGAGCGACTGCAGTTGAGATGGCTTTGCTCCACCCGCACGTGAGTCAGACATGTAGTTATACATGACATCTTCTTTGTACGGAATATCAACCTGCCAGCCCATGGACCTGTGGAACAGCAACAGTGCATTCACACGCTTCAACAAAGTGCCCGGCGCCTTGGAGTGAAGCCAATCACACAAGACCTGCTTCTGCTTCTCCACCGAGGCGCAAGACATGATGGTGTGGCAAATAGGCAAATCCGGGCACACCTCATCCCACTTGGAAATCAAGTAAATCCACCTCGATAAGGCTTTTTCTGAAAGGTTGTCCCTGCGCTCTTGCCAAGTCAATCCTTCAGACTTACGAACAACCTTGAAGCATAATGCACTGTCTGGCGTACTGGTCAAGACGCGTTGTCTCTTAGCTGCACGATCCA